GAGACCCCGAGTGGCTGAGTAGCAGGGCCAAGTACACAGCTGGTTCATGGTAGGACCAGGGCTGTGGCCTCAGTCTGCTGCTCTTTCCATGATACCATGATTTTCAGATGTTCTGGGGGTGGAAAGATGCAAGTCTCGACCCGGCTTGAGTCAAGAGCCTGGTCCCTGGCTGGCTGAGTCACAGAGGGCCTGCAGCTTGCCTGCTATCAGCCTGGACCGGGCTCCCAGCCCCTCCCCCCTCTTCCCCTCCTGGTTCCCTAGCTCCCTCCCTCTCTGCCTCTGGAGGTAGCAAATGCCCAGCTCAAAGTTGCTCCTTGCCTGATTACATCTGCGAGCTGGAAACATAGGCTAATTAATATGTCTGTGACTCCAGGCTTGGCTGCCGGGCCCGAGTGCCCGGGCCCTCCCTGGAGCTCCGCGCAGGCTCTGGGAGCGGGCCCTCGGCTTCTCCAAGCACGAGCAGATGTGTGGTTTCACAGTGCACATCTGCTGGCTATACAGTCTCTCGTATTTGCCCTCCTCACGTGGCGCTTTGATGGAAGACTCCTGGGGGTCCCCTGTGTTCCAGCCAAAGTGTTTGCTTTGCAGTTTTGCCAGAATACCATCTGATTCTGCTCTCACATCTTCCGCAGGTTCTAATCAGGCTCTTACTTTATTTAATTAAAAATCGATCTCAGGCAAATACAGACTAAATTAGGGAGCGCTCTCATTCCGGGACACAGGAAAGGCTGCTCCCCCGTCCCCCTGGGGAACCGGCTGGGACATTTTCCCAGGCTGAGATGTCAAGCAGAGCAGATGGGGTCTTGGTTGGGAAGCTGGCTGGGCAGGGTAGACACGGCCCTCTCCCCTCTGCTAGAACAGCTGCTTTGGCTCACCACCACGGTGCACAGACCAGGGCTCCCTTTCCAGAAGGCTGGGAGCTCCTGCGTGCAGGGCCTCTCTCCAGGGCAGTAGGTGGGGCTGTACACCGCCAGAACTCAGCCAGGTCGGTGCCTCAGGCAGAGCCCTTCAGGGCCATCCGAGGGCTGGTACCTGCGGACAAGCTCAGGGGTGGAGGCCTAGGGTGGCCCTGCGGAGTCGGGGGCAGGGTGGGGGGACAGTAGGCAGAGCTGGGTGAGTCTAGGAGGAATTGTTTCTGTGGGGTCTGTAGGAAAGGCCCTGCTCAGGCTCCCTTTGTGGCTGCAGGAATTTTACCCTGGCCATCCTGCCAGGGCCTCCGGAAACCCTCCCTTCTGCCTCTTCAACTGACCCCCACACCGAAATCAAACATCTTCCCCACACAACCCAGCGCTGTGCCCAGAGGCAGTGCCGGGCTGTGCCCCTGGAGAGGGAGAAGGGGCAGCGCATGCCACCTGGATATGACCCACGGCAAAGTCAAGTCTGTTGAGATCAGACCCCGAGCCCGGCCTTCAGAAGCCTGCTTCTTAACCAGCCAGACAAAGGAGCTTCTGCAGCCTTCAGGAACACGGAGACCAGGCAGGGGGCTCTGGCTCGGAACTGGAGAATCTGGGTCGCGCCTGCGTGTAAGTCAGCTGGGGGCGCCCGCACGTGCCGTTGCCTCTGGGTTCCCTCTTGTGAGACATTCGGAATGACTCGGACCTGGTTATCTAACCGTGATAGAAGGAAAGGAATCTATAAATCGCCGGGTGTGACTGGCAAGGCTCTGATACCCGGACAACAACTTGAGGATGAGATCATCTCCATCTGTTGTAGGTCCTGCGTGGAGCGTGAGTGGGCAGTGCCCGGGTTTGCCTCATTTTCAGCATCCTTTGGGACCTCTCGCAGGGACCAGCGAAGCAGGAGGCAGATTCTTTCGAGGATGGGGCTGAATTACCTCTGAAGATGAAGATGCTACGACTTCGCTGAGCAAATCTGTCCTGGCATTTCGCAATCTCCCCAAACCAGAAGACATATTAGGCACTAAATCCTCCTTCTCTCTTCGCTCACCCCCACCTATTCCCATTGTAGTCCCCGTCTCAGGGGAGATGGAGCCGGTTGCTCCACTCTGAATGTCCCTGAGGACTTTCCGAAGGCCCCTTCCTGCCTCAGGCCCAGCTGTTTACCCTGCCCAGCCGGCTTACTTCCATTCCCTTCATCGCAGGCCGGAGGCTCAAAGGTGGCGGCCGGTTCTGAGGTTGGCCCGTTCCTCCTCCCGTCTGGAGCAGCCAGGCTGAGCTTGGTAAGCGGTCCTCCGGGGCCTGTCTGCTGCTGTGCTTGGGCTAATCTGCCTGTGTGCTGGCTGTGTAGATCTGAAGATAACCTGACACTCTCGTAAATATTTCATCTCACCCTGGCCACGCGCACGCCTTATCTACCAGGCGAGGAGGCAGCACCCGGCGCTGACCCCGCGTCAGAGCCGCAGCAGCCTGAGAGTGGGTAGGGCAGAGTCTGAGCCCCTCTTCTGGCTGCTGAGACACCCCCCGCCCCAGGCGCCTGGCAGACTCCCTGAGGAGGCGGTGAGGGTGCGAGGGCTCTCACCCGGAGGCCCTGGGCCGGGCCCTCTGCTTCTCCGAGCCTCAGGTTCTCATCTGGGACAACAGTTATGTCCCGCAGACCTGCATCGACAGCTGGGCAGGCACAGGTGGAGGTCTTCAAGGGGGGCTGCCAGAGCCGTGCAGCCAGACCCTCACTCGTGTAAACCGAGACCCTCACCCATGTAAACCGAGACCCTCACTCGCGTAAACCGAGACCCTCACCCATGTAAACCGAGACCCTCACTCGCGTAAACCGAGACCCTCACCCATGTAAACCGAGACCCTCACTCGGGTAAACCGAGACCCTCACCCGTGTAAACCGAGGCCCTCACTCGTGCAAACCGAGACCCTCACTCGCATAAACCGAGACCCTCACTCGCGTAAACCGAGGCCCTCACTCGGGTAAACCGAGGCCCTCACTCGGGTAAACCGAGGCCCTCACTCGCGTAAACCGAGGCCCTCACTCGTGTAAACCGAGGCCCTCACCCCCTCACCCGTGTAAACCGAGACCCTCACCCGTGTAAACCGAGACCCTCACCCGTGCAAACCGAGACCCTCACCCGTGCAAACCGAGGCCCTCACCCGTGCAAACCGAGGCCCTCACCCGTGTAAACCGAGGCCCTCACCCGTGTAAACCGAGGCCCTCACCCGTGTAAACCGAGACCCTCACCCGTGCAAACCGAGACCCTCACCCGTGTAAACCGAGGCCCTCACCCGTGTAAACCGAGGCCCTCACCCGTGTAAACCGAGGCCCTCACCCGGGTAAACCGAGGCCCTCACTCGGGTAAACCGAGGCCCTCACTCGGGTAAACCGAGGCCCTCACTCACGCAAACCGAGGCCCTCACTCACGCAAACCGAGACCCTCACTCGTGCAAACCGAGACCCTCACTCGTGCAAACCGAGACCCTCACTCGCATAAACCGAGGCCCTCACTCGGTAAACCGAGGCCCTCACTCGGGTAAACCGAGGCCCTCACTCGGGTAAACCGGGCCCCTCACCCTCACCCCCATCATACCCGTGTAAACCGAGGCCCTCACCCGTGTAAACCGAGGCCCTCACCCGTGCAAACCGAGACCCTCACCCGTGCAAACCGAGGCCCTCACCCGTGCAAACCGAGGCCCTCACCCGGGTAAACCGAGGCCCTCACCCGGGTAAACCGAGGCCCTCACTCGGGTAAACCGAGGCCCTCACTCGCGTAAACCGAGGCCCTCACTCGCGTAAACCGAGGCCCTCACTCGCGTAAACCGAGGCCCTCACCCGCGTAAACCGAGGCCCTCACTCGCGTAAACCGAGGCCCTCACCCGCGTAAACCGAGGCCCTCACTCGGGTAAACCGAGGCCCTCACTCGGGTAACCGAGGCCCTCACCCGCGTAAACCGAGGCCCTCACTCGCGTAAACCGAGGCCCTCACCCGCGTAAACCGAGGCCCTCACCCGCGTAAACCGAGGCCCTCACCCGCGTAAACCGAGGCCCTCACTCGGGTAAACCGAGGCCCTCACTCGGGTAAACCGAGGCCCTCACTCGGGTAAACCGAGGCCCTCACTCGCGTAAACCGAGGCCCTCACTCGCGCAAACCGAGGCCCTCACTCGCGCAAACCGAGACCCTCACTCGGGTAAACCGAGACCCTCACTCGGGTAACCGAGGCCCTCACTCGCGTAAACCGAGGCCCTCACCCGGGTAAACCGAGGCCCTCACTCGGGTAACCGAGGCCCTGATACTTGTGTAAATCAGGACCCTGACACTCCTGTGAACCGAGACACTGTGACTGTGTGCATTGCTCTGTCCCCAGGCCGCCTGGGTCCGCATCTCGCGAGAGGAAGGAGGTGCAGGGAGAGAGAACTCAAGAGGCAGCGAGCCCACCGTGTGCAGGCAGGGCTGCCCGAGGGAGGCGGGGCACCTGCTCAGGCAGGATGTCCCAGGGACACTGGGCTCCAGGAAGCCGAGATGAAGGGACCAAGAGCAAAGGTATGAGTTGGAATCAGAGCCTGAAATGAGTCTCCCAGGCACGGCGCGGGCTGCCCAGGGCTCCTAGGAGCGGGCGGGGAAGGAACGGGCAGTGGTGTGGGGGTCCCTGTGGATGCTGAAACCAGGGGGACAATCAAGCTCCAGGCGGATTCTGACAGGGGAGGTGCCACATGGGGTTTCTAGCACCCTGAGGGAGGTCAGTCCAGAAAGAAATGACTCAGAGCCGCATCACGTTTTTCTCTGTCTCCCCGCGTGAAGCACATGCTCTCTGACTGAATAGACGAGCATCCAGGAGCTCTTATTTGCCCCCTAAGCTGGAGTCGAACACACGCATCGGGCAAGGCCATAGGTAAGGGGCATTGGCCTCCTGATTTCCAGGGCAGGAGCTTTCATTTCCCCTCTTTGTGGGGAGGGGTTCCTGACACAGGGAGGCCATGGCCAGAGCCCCGGGGGACAAGGCCTGGGGCTTCTCCCAGGCCAGGCCCCTGAAGGAAGCCTCCCGGAACTGAGCCCGCGGTGTTTCCCACAGCACCCTTGCCCCACGCGCGGGCAGTTCTTACCCAGGACGGTGAGGCGCGCAGGGCGGGACCGGATGGCGGCCTGGATGGCCTGGCACTCGTACACGGCGTCATCTTGCAGCTCTGCCCGCAGGATCTTCAGGTGATGTTCTCCCGACAGGTGGTTCCCTACCACCAGGTACTGTGGGTAACCTGTGGGGACAGCAGGCCCATCAAGGGGCTGGTCCGGGGTGGAGGTGACATTCATGTAACACAGGACCGTGGCGCACACCTGAGCAGGGCCTTGATGTCAGCGTGAGGAGCACAGAGATGAGTTTCCCAGGTGCTGGGCAGAGTGTGTGTGTAAGGGAACTGTCGATGGCTTTGGGAAGCGGTTGTTAGAGGGGGGGAGAGAACAGAGAGGGAGATGCTCAGTGTGGACAGACTCAGCGGGCTTCTCACTCTGGACAGCGGTGGGCACCTCAGTGTGGGTACCAAGCCGACATGCAATTTGATGAGGACACACAGAGAGACTGAGAGGCCCAGGCTGAGATCCACAGACAGACAGAAGACGGAATAAGAGAGAGAGAAGGGACAACACAGAAAGTGATTTGGGAAAGGATTAAGAGTGACTTTGGGGACAAGTCTTGCTTCGGGATGGAGGATCCAGGCCACCTTGCCAATGCCCGAGCCTCTGGTCACTTTGAACCACAAGCAACACTATTCTCCTCCTTCCCAACCCGAACCCCAGTGTCTGATTAAGCACTTGTGAGGTGCTCAGGACACTTAGGAACTTGGGGTCTCTTGTACACTGGAGATGAATAATAGATAAATAAACGCTTGAGCATGATAAATCATTAATCAGCTTTCCTGTGGCTGTGTGGGTTGACTATAAATGCCCACGTAAGTCCCAGCGGCCAGGCTGGGCAGACCCTCCCTTTCCTGGGTCTTGGGCCCTAAAGTCCCTTAGTGTCTCTCAGAAGGATCTGTTTCCATGCCCCCCCTTACCTGAGCTCTGCTTCCCCTTAGCAGTCCGTCCCAGGTCCTTGCCCCTGTCTGGTCCCCTTCTCTCCTCAGAGGCCCGCCCACCCTTGGGCAGCCCCAGATTGCTCTCTTGCAGAAGGACCTCCGCAAGGGTGACTGAGCAGTGTGACTGCTCAGAAAGGTGTCATAGGATTGAGCCCACTTGGCCGCTAAAAGGGAGGACTAAGGCTTAGACAATGAGAGACGTACACAGAGACAGACAGAAGGACATGCAAGAAGGAGCTCTCTGTCTTCAAATGCTTCCGTCTCTCGGTGGGGAGTAGGTGTGGTTTTGCACCCCCCAAGGGCAGCATTAGCAATGGGCAGAATGAGTACGGGGAAATGCTGTTAGAATATTGTTAACAGTTTGAGGTGTCCAATAGAATCTGGGCTGCCAAAGGTGGTAGTGAGGTCCCTGTCACTAGCTGTATTCAAGCAGAGGTTGTATGATCATCTGTCAGAGACACTGCAGAGGAGAGTTCTACCCTGATTAGAATATTGGAGCTCAAAGTCCCCTTCCACCCCCATGAGCTAAGGGTCTTCCCGAGGTGGCAGCTCTCCCTGGGGGGTGAGCTATACAGGGCCACCCATTCCTGGTCCCTGAAGCAGCTGTGATTTTCTGCCAGATTTCCCAGTATGCTTTGTGGGTGCTCCCTGTGCGGCCGAGCCCTTTAGGCTCATGTCTTCATGACTAGCATTGTCCCCATCACGCAATCAAATGGCCCTGCCCTCCACAGCTGTTAGGCCTGGCCAGAGAGGCTCACAGGGCAGCCAGCTGTGTCCTGCCCACCCTTCCCGCACTCTACCGGGCTTGGGGAAGGAGCCCAGGTGAGCTAAGCTGGCTCCCCCAGGGCCAGGGCTAGAAATGGCTTCTAGCCCCGTCCTTCCCTGCTGCTGCTGCCCTCACTGTATCTGGTTGACCACGCCAGCCCCTTCAGCCCGGCCTCTGGACCTGTGATTAGTCCCTGTTCTCCTGAAGGCATCTTGGCTGGAGCTTGTGTTGTTGTCTTGCAAGCAAGCGATCAGCCACGATTTCACTCTCAGGAGCTGCTGGAAACACCAGTGATGGGTTTGTTTGCATTTGCCTAATTAGGCAACAGAGCTATGATGCCTTCCCCAGGGCTGGCAGCATCCTCGGAAAACATCAGCCCAGAAGAACAGATTCTGAGGAAGGGCCTAGCTCCTTCCACAGCATCATTGCTCCCTCTTGCTATTCTCGGGGGAGACAACATTACTGGGAGCCTGGCGTCTACAGCCAGATTGCCTGGGTTCAGATGTCAGCCTGTCACGTTCTCTGGGTGCTTTTTGGGTTGGTTACTTTTACCTCTTGTGCTCCTGTTATCAGTGAAGGGGAACTATCCCAGTACCTGGCAGAGTTCTGGCGAAGATTAGACAGGACAATCTATGCAAAGTACCTGGTGCATAGTTAGTCTACAAATACTGGTTATGTGGAAGTGACCGCGAGGTAGGGCAACAAAGAGGTCTCTGTCTTTCTAAGTGCGAGCGGACTGGGTGTCTGGGCCACCTGGGGCTTCGAAGCCAGGCCTCTAGGCACTGGGCTTTGGGATATATTTGAACCAATTTCTGTCTCAAGTGTGACTGTGTTTACCTGTCACATAAAGGGGAAAATCCTTCCTTTTCTCTCTGTGGATCATTGTAGATTCATGAGAAAACATCTGCGCTTCTTAGGAGAAAAATGTCCTATCAACATGAGGGAGAATATTTATCAGTCGCTTCCTTGGACTGTTTCTTCCAGCCGTGGTGACCAGAAAGACAGCGAGGTCTTCAGCTGGGGCGTGTCCCCGGTGGACTGAACGCAGGTGGACGTCCCGCAGGGCTGAGCCTCAGTTTCCCCACAGGAGAATGCTGTGGCATTAAGTGCCCTGCAAATACTTGTGAAGTGAATGGGGACCTATTACTCTCAATTCCTCATCAGTATTTATTGGGCATGTAAGTATCTGTCGTTATTGTCATGATGCTATTTTGGGGACAGGTGATCAAATACAGAGGAAATGCTTTAGCAGGAGTTTGACTTCATTGGCTCTGCAGGGAGGGGGGCAACCTCCTTCCTATAAATGGAGTCAAGTTACAAGGGAAGCAGACCCCAGGTCCTCAGAGTCCGTGGTCCTTTAGCACTTAGCAGGTCCCAGTCCTGGACCCCAGGAAGCCATTCATGGGGATGACGCCGGAGACTCAGTGGACTGTGCAATGAATACCAGTCTGTGAACCATCCACGGGGATGGTGCCTCCTCTTGGCCACCGATCAACAAGACCTCAGTTCCTGACTGAAGGCTGCAAACCATTGCCTGGGAACTCGGGAGCCTCCTTAACCAGCAACAATACTGGGCCAAGCTCAGGGATGTGCAGAGCCTGCGTGATTCCAGTGTGGGGAGCTGTGCCCTTCCCCCAGTTCCTCTAGCGTAAGGGAGTTCAGAGTCCCCGAACGTGGCGGGTTCCCATAATACTTAGGTTTTTATGGCAGCACGATATATTCTGGAGATATTACTGTGTGTTTCCTCTACGCTCAGTTGGGCTGCAGCACTCAAATCCTGTGATGCTATTGACCGTGGCTATAATGTTTCAATATACATTTTTGGCAAGACATAACTCACGGTTTAAAATATTAATTCCCGGACCATCCTGTTGCAGAGTGCACTTCGATCTTTCCTGTGTCTGCACCCAGGAGAGCGGCAAAGCTACTGCTCAGTCGAATACACAGTTTTCCCTCCTCCTCCACCCTCGGCCATGCCCCAGTTGCAGAGACACTCAGATCCCTGGTCCCGAATTTTACATTTTCTGCTAAGCCTGGCAAGTAGTCACATGCCTCCCTCCCCAATGGGGGAGAATAATGGAGGGTGGGGAGTGACCAGGAGGGCGATTCTATTCCGTTTTCTCCCGGAGGAGAGGACAGATTGGAAAGACATCTCCATGGGCTTTAGGGTTGACATTCACAACAGCTAACAGATGACAGGGCATGGCGCCGACCGGGGAGCTCGGATGGCAGCCGTCAGTGGTCTCAGGAGCCCACCAGTGCATCACTGATCAACAGAGGGCCGGTGGGCGGATGAGGGCTTGGACGTTATTTCATACGCTTCTCCTCTTTTCTTCCCGTCACATGGGGACTCCTAAATCCCCAGGCTTCCTGTGAGCCTTGTCTGTTGGGCCTGCTTCCATAGATGGGAGCTGGGAAGAACCAGTTGTGACTTAAGTGGACGAACACGTTACCTCTGGGAAGCTGACTTCACGTGAATCCTGTGTGATTTCAGAGCAGACCCTCCTGGGCAGCGCTGTGCTGGGTTTAGGACATATCCCCACATCGAGGGGTCAGTGCTGGTTCAGCACCCGTTGTCAGAGGGGTCCTCTGGGCCCTGGGGATCCTGGGCCCGGGCCTTGCCCAGCCTGTCTCTGCCCGTGGACCTGCATGGCAGCTGGGGATGGGTCCCCAGGAGGGCGGGTGGGTGGGTGAGGCGGATGGGTTGCAGGCCCCCCCGGGGAGGTCTGGGGGTACTCACTCGAGAGGTCTCTGCCCACACCCAGAGCCAAGCCGTCTTTGATCCACAGAACGAAGCCGTCGTACTCCGGGATGGCGCACAGCAGTGTCACCGGCTGCCCTGACACCACGGCCTGGTCCTGGGGCTGCTGGCTGAAGGAGTACACTTGGCCTAGGAAGGAGACAAGCAGAGGTCAGTTACTGCGGGGAGCAGCGGAGCCCCGGCTGGCCCAGGGGACAAGGGCACCCCTGCCCCAGAGCACCTCCTTTCTTGCCTGGGGCCCAGCTTCATCCCCTGCCTGCAGGGGCTGGATCCCCACCACAGCCTCCTCAGCCCCCAGCCGTCCACTCACACCGGGTCCAGCCGTCCTCCCCAGACCGGCCACGCCTGCCACTCACTGCCCTTGGGACATGCTTCTCCCTTCCGTCGGGCTAAGTCCTACGGAACACCACTTCCTGTACCCGCTTCCACACATGCCCCTCCCGTCGTCAAAGTGAGAGGGCACTGGGCCATCTAAGCCGGCCAGTCCGCATTCATTCAACACGGCCGCAGCGTACAGCATGCCAGGCATCGTTCTAGGACTTGAACCATTAGCTCGTTCATAGTTCCGTCCTCATAGCCACCAGAGGAGGCACAAGGAGGCGGGCGAGTCGCAGGGTCTGCGGTGGTCCCCAGGTGCTGAGTGTGCCTCGCCTTGAGCTGTCACCCCCACAGTGGACGCATCAATGCTATTTCACAGGGGTCAGAGGCGAACCACACTGTCCAGGGTGCATCCAGGGCAGGGCTAGGCTCTGAACCCAGACTTTGGGCTCCAAAGACTGTTCTCATCTACCGAGCTATGCCGCGTGCAGACCCCGCAGGCTGGTCCCGGAGGGGTTGCTGGAGAAGGGGGTGGTGTGAGCATGTTGCGGGGGGCCACACTGGATGGGCGACAGGGCGAGGAGAGTTCCCGAGCCCCTGCCCGCAGTGCGACCTTGCTTCACACGCCCTCCCTCCTGTAACCTATTACATTCCATTTCAGGGCAGAAATAGCCCCATGTTACAGCAGACACCAGGATCAGAGAGGCAGAGTAACCTGCCTGAGGTCACACAGCTAGAGTGGTGGAACAGCAGTGGGTCCACTGACTCCCGAGCCCTCCTTTCCCACAGCCGGCTCTGCGGGTCCAGACAGACAACCCGGGAAACGGGACCTGGCGGCAGGCTGCTGCCATGGCCTCCCCATCACCCCAAGAGTCGGGATGGCCCCAGAGGCCGAGACACAGAGTCCCGCCCAGCACAGACCACGGGCTGGCAGAGCTCTCGCAGCCTGCGGCGGAGCCCCCAGACGGAGCGGCGGCGGAGCCCCCAGACGGAGCGGCGGCAGAGCCCCCAGACGGAGCAGCGGAGCCCCCAGACGGAGCGGCGGAGCCCCCAGACGGAGCGGCGGCGGAGCCCCCAGACGGACGGCGGAGTCCACAGGCGCCAGTCTGGCAGGTGGGCAGGGAGCGGAGCCTCCGACCTGATGAGATCCTGGCTGGGTCTCTGAGGAGTCTCATTAACAATCAAACTGGCACTGAATTGTGGGAGTAACACTTTTTCTTCTGATTTGAGCTTTACAAATTAGATTTCATAGGACATTTTAATCAGCTATGTGTGGTGAGGTGTTTTTTCCTCTCTGTCTCTTCAGGTTCTCTGCTGTAATTAGACTGTTCCTGGCACCAAAACAAGAGAGAGAAGGAGGGAAGGGACGGGAGGAGAAAGGAGATGGGAGGAAGAGCATGAGGGGGGGGAGTGAGGGGAGAGAGAAGAAAAAGAGGGGCTGGGGGAAGTAAGGGGAAGGGGGGAGGGGAAAGGAGGGAAGTGAGGGGGAGGGGAGGAGAGGCCAGGGGAAGAGGGGGGAGGGGAAAGGTGGGAAGTGAGGGGGAGAGGAGGAGTGGCCAGGGGAAGAGGGGGGAGGGGAAAGGTGGGAAGTGAGGGGGAGAGGAGGAGTGGCCAGGGGAAGAGGGGGGAGGGGAAAGGTGGGAAGTGAGGGGGAGGGGAGGAGAGGCCAGGGGAAGAGGGGGGAGGGGAAAGGAGGGAAGTGAGGGGGAGAGGAGGAGTGGCCAGGGGAAGAGGGGGGAGGGGAAAGGTGGGAAGTGAGGGGGAGGGGAGGAGAGGCCAGGGGAAGGGGGGAGGGGAAAGGAGGGAAGTGAGGGGGAGGGGAGGAGAGGCCAGGGGAAGGGGGGAGGGGAAAGGAGGGAAGTGAGGGGGAGGGGAAGAGAGGCCAGGGGAAGGGGGGAGGGGAAAGGAGGGAAGTGAGGGGGGGGGAGGAGAGGCCAGGGGAAGGGGGGAGGGGAAAGCTGAGAGTGAGGAAGCCAAGGGTGGGAGTGGGTGGGGAGAGAGGCTCTGATGATTTCTCAGCTCCTTTTATGCCCAAATCTTGCTCCCAAGAAGGGCAGTGTGGAGACAGCCCGAGAGCTGCTGGGGTGTCTCAGAGAGAATTCCCAGGCTGTCAGCGGGAAGGTGAGGGGGTTGTACTAGAAAGCCCTGAGCAAAGTGGTGCCCAAGCCCTCAGAAATGTCGTTAATGGGGACCCCTGAAGTGGGTAACTGTCCCATTGGCCCCACCCCCGGTCCCGCTTCCTGTTGGTGCTGGTGAGCACAGCCGGAGAGCTGGGCATAGGACGCACCGGGTTGGAGAGGCTGGGGGGCCAAGGTGGGCCCCGGACTGTGGAGACACTGGGCTGTCACCGTGGAAACCAGGCTTGGAGGGAGGCGTGCCCGGTGGAAGCAGGCCTTGGAGGTGGGCACTGAGGGTCAGTTCCACTCTGGAGGTGTCTCAGAACCAGGAGCTGGAGCAGGCGGAGGACCCCCCTAAATCAGACATGGGGCTACAGGAAGGAGCTGACGGGGAGGGAAGAGCGTGCGTGGCCCGGCTGGAGGAGTCTCAGATCCACCCACCCTAGCAGGCTTCGCGAGAAGTTTCCTTCTCACCCTTTGTCTGTTTGGATCCCCTCAGCTTTTCTATGGAGAGAATGTTTCTGGGGGGAGATTAACACACAGGATGGTCTCAAGAAACCACCCAAAGAATACAATTTGCAAATTATTTTGGGGGAGGGAATGGTTAGGGCTTTAATGGACAATTTTCTTTTTAGCCTCCTTTTAATTTTTACACACCAAATATAAAACACTAAAAAAACATTGTTTTCTTTGAAATAAATGGAATGCTTTTCCCAGACAGAATCGTAAGCCCCGTGTCACTCTCTAGAGTAGACGAAAGACGAGGTGCTGAGGGCGGGGAGCATGGGGAGGGGGGCCCCGCTTCCTTTCAGCCATGGGACAGACCTCGAGGCCTCCCCTTCCAGCTCAAGACCCCTGGGAACACAGCACAAAAGCCGTGGGGTAGGTCCTCGCCCAAAGAATGCCCCTGACCTCTCCTCTCGCCCCGTCTGCTAGACCCCTGTTACCTTCGCCAAAAAAGTGACATTTGAGTGAGCCTGGGACCATCTTCCGTAATGTGCTGGGCATTCCAGCAAGCAGACAGGAGGCCCCTTGAGAACGTGTGTTTCTTCAGCACACCTTTACTGAGACCTGCTCTGGGGCAGGTGTTGCACTGCCTTGTGGGAACAGGTGCCTGTGACCGGGTCCCTCCCTCCAGGGGGTTGGTGTGTATCCCCAGCCCCCGCGCTCCGACCTGAGCACAGAGCAGGTGCTGCATCGCCTCAGCCCTGCTCTCATTGTAGACTCAACACGCTTCGCACCACCCATCCTAAGCTTCCTGCCTCAGTTTCTCATTTTGTCCCATGGTGTTATTCTGGTGGGAAGCCTGGCAGTCAGTGCGGCCTCCCTGTGGATGCTTTATTTTATTTTTTATTTATTTTTAGTTTTAAAATCCTCCCCCGAGGACATTTTTCTATTTATCATCAGACAGAGTGGGAGGGAGGGAGAGAGGCAGAGAGAGAGAGACATCGATGTGAGAGGGATACATCAACTGGTTGCCTCCCGCACGACCCGACCAGGGCCTGGGACGCACTGAAACCGAGGTACGTGCCCTTGACCGGAATCAAACCCATGACTCATTGGTACGTGGGCCGACGCTCTAACCGCTGAGCCAAACTGGTCAGGGCCATGCTTTACTTTTACTCTGTCCCATCAAGAGGTCTGGCCCAGCCTTCTTCCATCACATCTCTCAGATCCAGCCTTTCCTCTCCATTCCTATGGCATGACCCGAAGTCCAGGCCCTCAACCTGGTGCTTAACACAGACCACGAATGCCTTCAGGTACACCCTGGATTTTTTTTCAAAATCGCCACTGTCCTCACGTTTTCCCCTTTCCGAGAGGTGGAAACTCTGGTGGATCTTCCTGTGTGCAGGACAGCACTCCATCCTCATTGCGAGCTTCTCTGGAATCTAGTGGATCTCCCTGACTGCAGGACAGCACTCCTTCCTCATTGCGAGCTTCTCCAGAATCTAGTGGATCTCCCTGTGTGCAGGACAGCACTCCATCCTTATTGCGAGCTTCTCCGAAATCTAGTGGATCTCCCTGTGTGCAGGACAGCACTCCTTCCTCATTGTGAGCTTCTCTGGAATCTAGTGGATCTCCCTGTGTGCAGGACAGCATTCCATCCTCATTGCGAGCTTCTCCGGAATCTAGTGGATCTCCCTGTGTGCAGGACAGCACTCCTTCCTCATTGTGAGCTTCTCTGGAATCTAGTGGATCTCCCTGTGTGCAGGACAGCACTCCATCCCAGATTGTGAGCTTCTCCGGAATCTAGTGGATCTCCCTGAGTGCAGGACAGCACTCCATCCTCATTGCGAGCTTCTCCGAAATCTGCCCCTTTTTCCTGGGTGCTCAGTGGCAGCCCTGTGCTGGCTGATCACGGGTGTTACCTGGAGTCCTGGCTGTCCCTCCATCCTGGGGTACCCCTCCAGGCCTCCCTGGCCAGCCCTGATGTCCCTGAAGGGCCAGTTCTGCCCCCACCTTGATCTTTGCCTGTACCTCTGGGCACTATCACCAGGAGATCTTCATCTTCTCTCTTTACTCCTCCCCCTCCCCTCCCCTTTTCCTCCTTCTCATTTCCCTTAATTTCTTCAAAACATTATTGAGCACCTACTACATGTTTGTTAGATGCCAAACAAATAAAAGTAAATAAGAAGCAGAGGGTTAACTCCTTGAGGGCAGGGCCACGGACCCTTTCCACCTTGCCTTCTCCAC